CTTTGATAAAGGGGAGCATTGCTCAATACTACCACGAGGACAGCCCATGGAGCGAGGAATCCAACTCCTCAGAGAGGATTAACGCTCGAAAGAAACATCATACTCACAATAACTCTCAATGGTGAGGGGGGTTATGCTTCAAGAGGATATCCTGGTGAATGGGAAAACCCCTCAGGCCGACCCAGATACGGTAGACCAATCAGGGTAGCATGAAAGCGTAACCCCAGCCCGGATGTCCAGGAAATTTTTGCAGTTTGAGGGAAAGAGTGGATACCTAAGTATTACTCTGATCCAGATGAAAGCGCTGACGCTTTGTCTGGATCACATCCCTCAGGTCTTGCCTACCTCCCTTTGACCCACGATACTTCCTACCCCTACCCGCAGGCGGAGGAGGAGAAATGCACGCTTCAAACAGAACAGTCAATGAAGATGAAGAAGAGAATGATGTGTAGCTCCCGGCGCCTATTTATACTATAGTCGCACCGGTAGTGACGTCCTGGCTGTCGCCGGCCAACGAGTTGGTGTTTTTTCAATGTATGCTTCAGACACGGGTCACGACGAGGCGTCCCCCATAGCGACCCCTAGAGGACGCAGTTCGAAGTTCCCATGAAAGGGAACTGTAATGTATTGTGGGGCCTGGCCATTTAACTCCTTATACACATACAGCAAAACCTTAACAATTTAACACGGTATTCGACAGGCAACCAATGAAGTGAGGCCAAAACAGGCTAAATATGTTTCTTCTTTCTAGCTAAATCTAAATGTTTCATCTAAATATAAATCTTCTATTTAACTCTAAATTTAAAAATCTAAATGTTAAATATAGATACAAATAAATCTCAGTGTTATATTATAAATGATAAAACTAAATTTAAATGATAAGTATAAATGCTAAATCCCAATCCTAAATATAAACGTAAATCCTAGCTATATGTAAATCTTCTAAATGTAAATCACACAGGAACGCACACACACATATTAACGTTATATATAACGTTACATTTTAAATGTTAAATCTAAATCTAAATGTTGAGCTAAATATTTAAACGTTTAGCTAAACATTTAGAGGACATCCAAATTTATATAAACACAGTCCCACTGAAATACAGAAAGCAATGTAAGTTATCACTCGTGGAATCTGGTTTGGATATCATATTATACAAATAAATATTTTTTCCACAAAATGTTGTCCTGTTTTATTGTAACTGTTCCACCTTTTATTAAAACTAATGTTGCAAACCCAAGAGAGACTGAAAGAACTCTGGACAATATCGGTGGCATAAATATTAATGTCAGGAAGATCACAGAAGGAAACTGCTGTCAATATACCAGTGACATCTAGTAAACGTGCTAGTTGTGGCAATGTGAGGGCAAACTTCATGAACTGAGTCTACAACCAAGACATCAATGCCCCCTAGTGTTGCATATATATAAAACAACCCTTGACATTTGTGGCTATTTACAGCATAAAAACTATCATCCTGAAAGTCTTTTACATGTACATTTAGTCATTTAGCAGATGCTTTTATCCAAAGCGACTTGCAAATGAGGACAATAAAAGCAGTCAAAATCAACAAAGGGCAATAAAATGCAAGTGTTATGACAAGTTTTGGTTAGCCCAATGCAGTACACATAGCAAGGTTTATTTATATATATATATATTAAAAAGAATATAGAAAGCTAGTGTTAGAGGGTTTTTTTTAGGGAAAAAACAAGCAGTGCAAAACAAGAGTGCAAGTGATAGAGGGTCAAGTTTGCTTGTTTTTTTAATAAAAAAAGAAAACAAATAGATAAAATAGAATTAGAACAGAGATTTGGCCAGGATGCCGAGGTCACACCTCTACTCTTTCCGAAAGACATCCTGGGATTTTTAATGACCACAGAGAGTCAGGACCTCGGTTTAGCGCCTCATCCGAAGGACGGTGCTTGTTGACAGTATAGTGTCCCCAACACTATACTGGGGCACTAGGGCCCACACAGACCACAGGGTGAGCACCCCCTGTTGAGTTAGAGGGTCAAATAAAAATGGAAGAGATGTGTTTTTAGCCGATTCTTAAAGATGGTTAAGGACTCAGCTGCTCGGATTGAGTTGGGCAGGTCATTCCACCAGGAGGGAACATTTATTGTAAAAGTCAGTGAAAGTGATTTTGTGCCTCTTTGGGATGGCACAATCAAGCGACGATCACTTGCAGAACGCAAGCTTCTAGAGGGTACATAACTCTGAAGTAATGAATTTAGGTAAAGGGGTACAGAGCCAGTGGTGGTTTTGTAGGAAAACATTAATGCCTTGAATTTCATGTGAGCAGCTACTGGTAGCCAGTGCAAATTGATGAACAGAGGTGTGACGTGCATTATTTTTGGCTCATTAAAAATTAATCTTACTGTCGCATTTTGGATTAATTGTAGAGGTTTGATAGAAGTGGCTGGAAGACCTGCCAAGACAGCATTGCAATAATTTTGGTCATGTGTGTGTCTATGTATATAAACAAAAACGAAAGAGAATCATGGTGAACCTTATAATAATAATAATAATAATTCATTACATTTATATAGCGCTTTTCTAGGCACTCAAAGCGCTTTACATTGTCAGGGGGTATCTCCTCATCCACCACCAGTGTGCAGCATCCACCTGGGTGATGCGACGGCAGCCATAGTCCACCAGAATGCCCACCACACACCAGCTTATTGGTGGAGAGGAGACGATGAAGCAGATATGGGGATTGTTAGGAGGCCATGATGGTCAGAGGCCAATGGGAAAATTTGGCCAGGATGCCGAGGTCATACCTCTACTCTTTCCAAAAGACATCCTGGGATTTTTAATGACCACAGAGAGTCAGGACCTCAGTTTAGCGCCTCATCCGAAGGACGGTGCTTGTTGACAGTATAGTGTCCCCAACACTATACTGGGGCACTAGGGCCCACACAGACCACAGGGTGAGCACCCCCTGTTGGCCTCACTAACACCTCTTCCAGTGGTGTTAAACAATTATAATATTGTTTAGTTGATAATTGTTTACTTTAGATAATATTTTTTTAAATCAGGTTTTCTCCAAAAGACATCCTGGGATTTTTAATGACCACAGAGAGTCAGGACCTCAGTTTAGTGCCTCATCCGAAGGACGGTGCTTGTTGACAGTATAGTGTCCCCAACATTATACTGGGGCACTAGGGCCCACACAGACCACAGGGTGAGCACCCCCGTTGGCCTCACTAACACCTCTTCCAGCAGCAACCTAGTTTTCCCAGGAGGTCTCCCATCCAGGTACTGACCAGGCTCAGCCCTGCTTAGCTTCAGTGGGCAACCAGTCTTGGGCTTCAGGCCTGTGACCTGGCTGCCACAGTGTGACATGGCTGATCAACAGGATCGAGCTGAACATGCAACTCAGTTTAACATGAAAATGATGTGGTTACACCGAACTGAGTGAACAGGTTATATATACAAAGTGAGCAGTTAAGATGTGTAATAAAAGTTTGTTGCATTGTGCTCTGTCACTCATCATTTACAACTGATGCAGTAAAACACAGTGTTTTTATCCAAAAGAGAGCATTTTTCAGTTTTCAGACACATTCTCAAGTGTGAGAATGTGTCTTACAGGCCATAAGCATTTATTCTGATATTTAATAAGAACAGAAGAGACATGCCAACACAAACATATGCCCACTTTTATGAAACACTGAGCTTACCTGGAAGAGTTTTGTTGTTTTACATTACAACGAACCCTAACTCAAATTTGTCAACCACAAAAAAATTGTGCGCATTTAATTGCCAGCTTTGAAAGATACTTTTTTCTGACTTTTTTTTTTCATTTCTAAGCTGAGTGAACAGGTTATATATACAAAGTGAGCAGTTAAGATGTGTGTAAATAAAAGTTTGTTGCATTGTGCTCTGTCACTCATCATTTACAACTGATGCAGTAAAACACAGTGTTTTTATCCAAAAGAGAGCATTTTTCAGTTTTCAGACACATTCTCAAGTGTGAGAATGTGTCTTACAGGCCATAAGCATTTATTCTGATATTTAATAAGAACAGAAGAGACATGCCAACACAAACATATGCCCACTTTTATGAAACACTGAGCTTACCTGGAAGAGTTTTGTTGTTTTAC